ACAAAGTCAGCTGGGATCGTACAATCTGCTGGGATCAGGTGGCAGGTGAACTTACATCCGTTTTACTCTCGAATTACTCGTGTTTTCAGGGTATTATGAGGGTTTTTGAGAATCACTTAAGTGGAAGGTGGTTTAGATACGTTTGATTTATCCTTCCGAGTTTTGTTTTTTGTTGTGCTGTGTCGAGTGACAGAAACCTAAAGGCAAAGGTGATGGGACGTGTATACAGTTGTATGATATCAAATTTTAGTGTTGTTTTTTTACTGTTTGATAAAGTGTGTTCGTAAGTGAAGCTAATATGGTGAGGCATCAAGTAATTACAGATGGAATTGGTGGGCCTGTTACGTAATAAATTTGATTTAGAATTATTAATTTTAGCTGGAGTATTGTGATAAAATTAACGTTTCTGTCATACATTAACCTGTTGCTATTATTCATACTTATTTACAATAATCAATGGCTGAGTTAACTTCCACAATCTATATGTTGAAGAGATCTTTTAATGATATATGGTAATTATCCAAAATAGGACCATCAATTGTTGCTTTGGCAATAAAAAAACTACTTGTAAATTTATGATGTATTTGGTAGTAAATTGCCGGAAAAAAACTACATGCTCTGTCTTACCAGATGAAACTTGGTCGGAGTTTGTTGAGCATTTCTGGAGCATGATTAGGCCTATGATGTACTTGAACTTGATCCATAGATAAAAAAATATTAATAAGTGATTATATTCCACTGCTTCTTTTCTTTGCTTTTATGGTTTTAGTAGAATTTTGTGTGTTCTTTAGTACAATAGCTTTTCTTATTCACGGTGCAATCTTGATTTGGTTGATTATTAAGATTTACAAAATTCAAAATATGTAGGTCTATCTTATTTTGTTCACATTTGTTTTAAGATGATGCCAAATACAACATTCTATGGATTGCAGTGAGTGCGTGATCCTGGGACAGTGAGGGGCTCAAGATGTTTTCCGCCCTGCGCAAGTTGACGGGCCGGGGAGCAGATGGCCCACTTACCCCTACGTCACCTCCTGGGGGGGTGCAGGCGATGGCTGCATCCTTACAGCGTCGATTTGCACGTGGTGTCCAGTATAACAGTATGTTTTATAATATTGTGTGTTTTAGGTATGTAGTATGTTTAGTATAGTAATATGCTTGTATTTTGATGATATAGAAAGAGTTTCTGGTATGCTACATAATCTGGAGAAAATGAAAAGAGACCAGAGACAAAGTATACTGTATTAGGATAAAGATCCAGAGTTCTTCACATTTCTATCTTTAATAATTCAGAAATCAAGTTTTAGTCTATTCATGCCAGGTTGACATCCTCTCACATAATGATTGACCAACTCTCTTGTTGAGATATCATCTTTGTCATATGTAGTCGAGCCTGTGTCAAGCCTTGTAATGAAACAGTTTTCCACTTGTTTGGCTCTAGCTACATTTGTTAGGGAGAAATAGTCCCTTGAAAGTAGGCTTAAAGGTATTTTATTTTATCATCATTACCAAAAAAAAATCACTAATGTTGTAGCTAAGAGCCGATATAGGTGTGTCATTTTATGCTTCTCATGCTTTTGAGTTTTCACTTGAGCAACTGACTCAATATACACCTGACGTGTTATTTGGTATGGCTCAAGGGGCTCCTGTCATGACCGGGTCAAACTTAAAATTCACTAGAAAAATGAGAGTAACTTCTTGCATTTGCAAATTTTATTTCATTTCAGAATCTTGTGGCACCCCAAAATACAGCCTACATGTAACATGCAGTTTGGGGACCACTGAATTGTGATGATATCTGAATGACATGTTAATAAATGATATTTTATTGCAGTGAAAATAGTTATAAGAGGAGATCGGAATGTAGGGAAGTCCTGTCTCTTCAAACGCCTTCAAGGGCAGCCGTTTTGTGAGGATTATGTGCCTACTGAAGAAATTCAGGTAATCTAGGTTTGTTTTGCTCTGATATATTTGAGAGACTATGTATTAATTTGTAAAATAATTTATGTACCTAGTTAGACATATATTGTATGAATCTCATTTTCTTTGGTTTTGCTTGAGCTGTTTTCATAATTGGTTGTTAATCTTTGTTTATATTCACTTGGAAAATGTTTAACCCCATGCCAATGTGGTTTGTATGTACATGCCATGGCATGACTGGACTCCTTTCTGGAAGGCATGTACATCCATGCCAAGCACATTAAGCCTACTCTAAGTTGTGCATACCAAGCAGTTGTTACCCTGCTTAGTTGTTACTGCAGTGAAGTAATTTCTACAGCCCCCTCAAGAGTAGGCCAAAGTCATTTTTTAGTCTTATTCACAGCAGCCAAAGTCATAGAGGATGGGAATATTATATATGTCCCATGGTTATGTTTTCCTTTTGAGTTTGGTATATGAAGCATCCATGGGTACTGGGTTGAAGGTTATGATCAGTCTCATTTTTGATTTACCTAAAGCTGCTCTTTGGTCTCATTGAAGCCTTCTGATGAACAAGTAAGATATAAGTAGTTTTGTGGCATAACGAATCGCTAGTGGCATCTAGCTGGGGGGAGGTGTATGCACAGGCAAAGAAACAAAATTGAACTCCAGTAAAATGTAGGAAACCTTAATGATGTCACATCAGGTGTGTGTCGGATGCTGCTATTATGTCTGATGCTGATTCGGCTTATATAACATCAGATGAAATTTAAGTCAAATCTGAATCAGATGTAATAGCAGCATAATTTTTGGGACAAAATTTATTTTACAGATGATGTGAGAGAGATTTTAGAAGAGACTAAGGTGTAGCAGGGCAGTGTAGAGAAAGAGAGAGAATGTAAGTCTGAAAGAATGAGGGCAAGAAGGAAAGAAAGAGAGTGAATGAATGAATGAAAGAGAGATTGAATGAATGAATGAAAGAGAGATTGAATGAATGAATGAAAGAATAAAGATGTGAATGTATGAATGAGAGAATAAACTTGAGAATGAATGAATAAGAGAAACAAAATGAGAATGAATGATTGAGAGACTAACTAAGAGAATAAGGGAATGAGAGGAAATGTTTGAATGCATGTATGAATGAAGAGAAAGACAGACAGAGGGAGAGAGTTGATGAATGAATGAATGAAAGAGTATATTGGAGAAGGTTATCTAAAGAGAGGAGCAATGGGTGAGTCTAAGGAGATGAAGTGCACATGCTTATGTCTTCAGGGCTTCCCAAACTTTTCTCAAGATACCAAACTGTAGGGCAGTGGCATTTTAGGGGTGAATATTGTCAAAACAATTTTTCAGATTAAATGTATTTGTTATTAGATATGAACCCAAAGAGCTAGTTTTGGTGAAAGAATTAGTATGTTTTTTCAGCTCTAACTAACACCGCATTTATTTACATGCACCAGTAGGGACAATAGGAGTTATAGTGAAAAGTTGCATCAGTAAAAATTTAGAAGACTTCTGTAGTGGCTCTCAGAAGAAGAGTATTTCTTGGAGTTATGTTAACTGTGTTCACTCCAGATCCAGCTGAAACTTGCTGTAATACGTGATTCTGTGATAGAAAGTAAAGCAATTACTACTGCTTCTGGGTTATATGCTCTTGCAATGAACAAGAAACTTTTATGTTTATTCACACAAAGAGCTTTGATTTTTTTTTTTTTTGTCTAAAATCTTCAGGGAGGTTTATAGGAAGTAAGCGGTGGATGTTTGTTTACTGCTGCTGAAACACTGAAGGTGGATGTGCAGATGCAGTCTAAATGTTTAATATCAAAGCTTATATTTATCATTAGTGGAGTAATTATAAAGATGCATGTGTGAATTAATTTTTGAAGTAAGTTTATAGTAAATGATTGATATTCTTTTTTTTTGCAGGTGGCAAGCATACAGTGGAGTTACAAAGCTACAGATGATGTTGTGAAAGTTGAAGTTTGGGATGTTGTTGATAAGGGAAAGAAGAAGAAGAAGGTAAGTTAAGAATTCAATAACTTTGCATACTGACCTCAGAAGGACAGCAAAATTTCAGAGCAGCATGTTTGCACAGGAGGGGGAAAGCAAACTTATTTAACCCTATCATGAAGGGGACAAACCTTATGGTCTACTTCTAAAGACAGTTATTTAACCCTGTCATGACGGTGCCAAAATTTTCTGTGACGTAATTATTATGGAACACTTTAGTCTTTTTGGCAGGGTTTGTGCTGGACTACCCATTCGCAAGTGATTTATGATGCATATACACATAATACATGATTATGTATCATGACAGCTATAACTTTACCCATCACTGAGGGATTAAGCATAAAATGTTCCATTCTGGATATTTGTTATATAGATAATTTGAACACTTTTTGAAGAACTTTTTGGCCATGTTCCCTCCTGTGACCTTTGATGAACACATTTGTATTTTTTAGATGCACTGGAAGTCACATTTTTCTGAGTTGTAGATATTCTTTTAGATGTTTAGACTATCTAGTCTCGGGAGTCTTGGGTTAACAATCTCAGGCCCAAATTTTTTACTGTGGACATTTGTGATTCTAATTTAGACACAAATAAGATTTCTTTATGTTCTTTTATTTTTATGAAGTATTTAACCCTTCATGACCTAGGGTTGCTCTGACAGTCAAATATGTGTTAGTGGATTGCATTTGATGGCAGCTGTCCAGAATAAGGAATTTCAACCCACATATACCAAGTATAGAGATGATATAGGTTTAATTAGGTTGGCTTGGTGTCAGGTACTTACCCAACCTCAGTCCCTCATGGCCATCTGATGAAACTCCAATGAAACTGTACCACATATTTTGTAGTGAGAAAGAGACTCCTTCACAATTTGCTCTCAGATGAATTAGACCAGGCTCTATCTTGCCATAATATATCTGGTAGAATTTAGCATTTGCTTATGTTGGAGACCTAACTGACCTTACTGGCAAACCTATTCCTGCCGAACCTCACCCAACTCTTAATACTTGTACTGGAAATGTTTCTATTCCCCCAAATGCTTGTCTCATGTATGACAAGGACTGGTCAGACTGTGAAAATGATCTACTTTCCTGCCTTGGTAAATATGATGCAGTGGCAGTACAGTGTTACACTCTTCCTCCTAGAGGACAACGTAAATCCCACGTCAATATTGCCAAGATTAGCTTCCATAGACAAGACCTCCCCCATGAGATTTATATTGGTGGATTGTCTTATCATGTCCGACAATATCGACCCCTTCCTCGTCAATGTCAAAAATGTTGGCGTTTTGGCCACCCAGCCACACATTGTCGCTCCACAGCCCGCTTCCCTCTATGTGCCCAACCTGGTCATGACTGTTCAAATTGCCCTGCTCAGTCACTTACATGTGTCAATTGTGGAGACTCCCATAATGTATTTTATAGGAGCTGCCCTGCCAATAAGTTTGAATGTGAGGTAGCAGTCCTCAGATTTAAACTAGGCCTTATTCTACGTGAGGCCAGACTGGAAGCACGACAACAAGGTTTTTCTCTCTCAACTTATTCCAAAACAGTCCTACGCTCTGCTCCCCCACCATCTACACAAGATATTTCTGCATCTCCCCAGGTATCTTTTCCCTATACCCAAAACCTATGTCTATGTCTACTCACCGTATCCACCAGTCAAATCCATTTTCATTCCTAAATCCAGATACGCCAATCTCTACCACTTCCCGGATACCTACCCCTCCTCCTCACTTTAGTTGTCGTACCAGACAACCTTAACGTTCCACTCCATGCTCTCATACTACATTCTCTCCTACAGCTTCCCCTTCATCTATTCCTCAGATATCCATCTCCTCTTCTCCTCCTTATAAGAGAACCTTTGTTTCTCAGTCCTCTATGCCAAATTCCCCTCCAGAAACCCTTGAAGACATCTAAGACTTCCTAAAGATGACCCAAGGGAACACTCCGCTCCCTCATCCACCCCCCAATCCCTCTGTTCCTACTCCTGCTACATTTAAAGTATTTGCAGATATTCATCCTCCTCCTTCCCAAGTTCCCTCCACCCACCATCCTCCTACACTCTCTCAACATACCCCACCGTCTCTACCACATCCACTTGAATACTCTCACAAATCCTCTTTATCACAACAGTGTTTCTCCAGACCCCTCCTCTCCAAACATTTTTTCTGATGCTTCACCACTTTCCCCAGTCTCCCTTTCTCAACCCACTGGATTCTTCTCCTCCTACTTCTCCAACAGCCACCTCTGTTTTCCTTGATCAATGTCCCTACTCCTTCCCCAGTCACAGATACACTGCAATTCACTCAGTTGCTCTAACCCCTTATATTCCCCCAACCCCTTCCCAAAATACCACATCCTCTCCACCACCCAAACCCCCCCCCTTCCCCCTACTATCCCTCCCACTCCCTCCTGGATACACTCGTGAATCTCTTTTATCACAATACCCTTCCCCAGACCCCACCGTCCCTATTGAATCCCCAGACCTGCTCCTTCACCTACTCCTGATCCTTTATCTCAACCCTCAGATACATAATCCCCTACTACTAAGACAACCATATCTACCGTTATCACCTATTATCCCTATTCCTTCCCCTGTCACAGATACAATGCAGTTCATTTAATTGCTCTACCTTCTTAACCTTTCCCACTTATTAATCACTATTCTCCTTCATTTACTTCCCTCCTTTCCCTTTTCATTACCATACTCTCCTACATCTTTCCCTGGCTTTTTACAGGACATGTAAACTGTTCTGTAAATAAATGTTTTCAAATCAAATCAAATCTCCTACAACTCTAATCTTTGATATCTAACACCCTCCCCTCTCCCTGGATTCTTCTCTTACTCTTCAACAGCTATCTATTCCTCCTTGAACATTTTTCCTATACCTTCCCCAATGACAGATACGCTATAATTCACTCAGTGAATTTATACTAATTTCTGCTCTAATTCACTCTCTCCCCTATTCCCCCTTTTCACTACCCTACTATCCTATAACGTTCTTAAACCTTTGACATCTAACACATTTTATCGTAATCTTTAACTCTCCTTAGCCCTTTCCGACACAATACTTTACCATAGTGCTACATGACCTTTGATGTCTAGCACATTTATTTTCAAACATTGATTAATTAATTAATTATGTTGGAGACCTCAGTGATTAATTTTTTTTTCTTTTTGAGTATGTGAGAAAACATATTTGTACTAAACCATAGTTCCTTTGCAAATTTGCAGATGGAAGGTTTGAAGTTGGATAATGCATCTTTGGAGTTTGAAGAACCAGCTCTCATTTTAGAACCCAATGGGTCATCCTGCTGACATGACCAAAAATTGGTGAGTTGCTAAACACCTGACCTGACCAATTAGATTCAGCACTAATTATAGACACTAATGTTTAAGGGCATCTGCAAAATATAAGGAATCAGCAAAAAGGGAGGGAAGTGCGGGGATGTGCTAGTGTGCTGGCGTGGGTGTGTTGTGTCTGAAGATGCATTGAGAGCTTGGAGCGGTAAGTTAAGTATGTCAGTACTTAAATCTTGTGTATTTGGCAACTGATGTTGTCAAATACATAAGATTTAAGTACTGACATACTGTTTGAAATTACAATCATTGCACATGTTGTAATGGGATATATTTATCATGAATATGCATCTAATGTTCAAGGAAAACTGTGTAAAGAGTCTTCGAAAATTGCCGAAACCTCTTTGGAAAGTCATGGAATTTTGATACCAAAAAAGTGTAAGAACCCTGGATGTAGGAGAAAGACAAGGAAGGAAGGGAAAATATAAGTAGGCAGAGTTATGATGGAGTGATGTATGTTGCAACTACGCCATGAACTACCTTTCCCTTTCTTGGCTCTTGCCAACATCGCCTTCATAGTCAACATTCCTGCTTGAGAATTCACGTTAGTGAATGGGAACAGTGAGAAAAAAGTGTGCCAAAATGTCATCTTGACCCAACTTTGTTTTAGGAGATATTTACCAAAATAATGCCTCATAGGATTTGAAACGGATGGTACCCGAAGTGAATGACTGCATCCCTGATGTAGCTTGATTGCCAAATATAAATTTTACACTGCAGTAAGGTTACCTGCCAGGCTTGATGTACTTCTGCTCATGATGGGGAAATAGATGATGATATTTATTGTTTGTTGTGTATTGATATTGTGGGGATTCCATTAAGTAAATATAGTGTTAAATGAGGCAGAATGCTAAAATGTACATAATACACAAATTTACCCCCCTCTTTTGGGTACAGTCCTCTTATTAAAGACAAAGGTATAGAACCAGCATGAAAACTTTAAATCTAAGAGGATATATGAATAAGACATCACTATTCTTATTCTATTCTTATTCTCTTAACTGCAATATTTTGTAATTTGACGTTCATCAGACCCGAAGGAGCAGCTGATGTCCGATACACAGAGTCCTCCATGCGCAATGGGTTTGGTCTGAAGCTGCTGCACAAGTTCTTCAACCTGCCATTCCTGCAGCTCCAGCGAGAGACTCTCCTACGCCAGCTGGAGACCAACACAGCAGAGATTGACGCGACCATTCAGGAACTCGAACTCTACCAAGAGAGTGACGACGCAAACTATGATGTGTATGTGTCTGGTATTGGGTGTTGACTGTTTTCCATTTGGTAATAAGTATGTGTAAATTCTTCCTCTTTTCAAAATTTTTATGGGTGTATATTGTTGCAGAGATGTGTTCATGGGTTGAAATTTATGTTCAGTAGCCATGTATTTATTTATTTATTCATTAATTTGATTTCTTTCTTTCTTTCTTTTTATGACAGTTGGTATTCTGCAGTTGTGAATAAGGGTAAGACCCTACATGTATATCAGCATATCATTCTTTTCACAGCTTTCTGACTCAGCTGACTGATCGACGAAGAGCAGCAGCAGAATCAGTTGCCCCAGTTGCACAGGTCGCTGCCCCAGTCAACACGTCACCCATTCCGCAGTCACGATCCATAAACAGTATGGCATCCACAACATCTCCTCCGACAGTAAATGGTCCTAATAGCTTAGGTAAGATATAACTAGACATCTAATATATCATATATATTTTTATATGAATGGTATAGTCTTTCAAAATTTTCTGTAAAAGGCGATTAATTTTTTTCTTATCGTATTTGAAAATTACAGCCGTTGCAAAATCAGTGTCGGTTCCAGTCAGTTTATCATCATCTGCTTCAAGTACGCAGTCTAGCCCTCGGCCCACGGATCGAGCATCACCTCAAGTGCCAACACCAGCCCCACAAATGGCAAAAACACCAGTAACAACACCCCAAGCATCTAAGGCAGCCACAGCCACAACCCCAACTGCAGCTCCTAGGTTGTTGCTCTGAGAGAATTGAAGTTAGAATTGTTGACTGAAGATGATGGATATTTGGAAAATTTGTAGTAATACAGTTTGTGGTTGGATGAGAGATAAATGTTTTTTCTTGTCTTCTAGTTTTTCTTTCTTTTTATTTCTTCTATAGTCTTTTTTTTTGGCTGTTTCTCTTTTCATATTCTCTCATCTTCGTCTTTTTTTTTCTTTTATTCTTTTTCTTTGTTGTCTTTATCTTCTCAATCTTTTTTCTCATCATCTTCAACTGCTTGTTTTTATTTTTTCTTCCTTTTATTTATTATTCTGCTCTGTCGTTTCTTCTTTTTCTTCATCTTCTGCTGCTCCTTGATATTTTTTTTTCTTTTCTTCTTGGACTTATTCTTGTTCTTCATCTTCTACTCTGTCAATTTCTTTCCTTTTTTTTCCTTCTCTTCTTCTTCTTCATCTTGTTGTTGTTCTTGTTCTTTTTGTTCTTCTTCTTGTTCTTCTTGTTCCTCTTCTTGGTCTTGTTCTTGGTCCTCCCCCCTCCTCCTCCCCTCCTCCTCCTCCTCCTCCTCCTCCTCCTCCTCCTCCTCCTCCTCCTCCTCCTCTCCTCTCCTCCTCCTCCTCCTCCTCTCCTCCTCCTCCTCCTCCTTCCTTTCCTATTCTTTCTTCATCTTTCATTCTTCTTTCTTCTTTCTTCATCACCATCTCCTAATGCCCACTTTCTCCTCACAGCGCTAGCACTAACAACAGCAATAGCAACAGCAGTAGCAACAGTCCCTCCAGTGGTGCACAAAACTCGACCAACCAGAGTCCGGAGAAAACGCAAGAAAAGACTAGCTTCATGTCTCGAATTTTTAACAAGAGCAGAGACACAGAACCTGCAGTGGAGGCGATGGCTGGTACGAGATTCTGCAGTTTGTATATCAGATTGTATTTTCTTAATAAGGCGATTGTAAGTTTTGCCTGCGCTTGATCATTTTGTGTGATCTTAATTCTTCATCATCTGTTTTTTTTTTTTTTTTTTTTTTTTAATATTATAGGTTTTGATTTCATATTTTTTTCATTTTGGGTTGGATCAGGTTAGACTTGATATTAAGTTATTCCTTATGTAATTATTCTTTCAGGGATTTTTATTACATATTCTATGAATTTTTTAGGGGGGATGTTTTGTACATAAATTTTTACTATTTTGTATATGAAAAAATTACCAATTTTGACATTTAGAATTCTACATATCAGATCATAATACTACAGCTCATATTTTAGAAATTCTTATTGTACAGAACTGCATTGTTTATTTTTTTCCTCTTTGCTACTGTTTATTTTTAGCCGGGGAAATGTACCAATATTTCAATAACCTTTCAACTTTGGCAAGCTCACTTGTGCAGCTCACAACATGGTAGATTCATCAATGAAGTTATCGAAGGGCATTTTTGATGTATGTACCTTACCATAGATTATGTATAATTTCTGTGATCAACTCTAGATTGCATCATACCAGCAGTAGGATCTGTGGACCCTGTCTCGGTGGACGACTTTGTACCTGATGGCGGCAAGTTAGATCAGTCCTTCTTGAGCGATGTCCTCACTTCCTCTGGCAAAGAACCCAGCCCCCCTGCTGAAGAAGAAAGGTACTGAGAGTGGGATATTGATGTCTTATTGTTTAAATTTTTTAAATTCAGAAAATAAAATTTCATGAGTTTGACTTCACATGTTGTTTTTAAGAGGTGTCTTTTCAGTATAGTTACCCTATGAAATTAGAAAATTAATTATGATTGATATATATATATTTTTTTTCTATTTTCTTTTCATTTTTTTATTTTTTTTTCTTTTAATTTGTGATGAATATTTTCTACTCCAGTGAGGAAGAATGCGATGGAAATCCAATGGTGTCAGGTTTCCAAGTGGACCTAGACCCAGATGATCTAAATCTCGGGTCAAATGTAGAAGTCGGTGCAGACGAAGACTTTGAAGATGACTCGGTGGGAATCTTTTCAAAAGTAGACTCTGTGCTTGATAGTAAAAGTGACGAGAAAGAGGTGAGAACTTCCAAGAAGCCAAAGAATAACAAACGAAAAGTTAGTGATAGTGAGAAACTTAACTGTGAAAATGACGTTTCAGTAGCCTTGTCCAAATTAGGCCTCGAGGGGTCACCAGACAGCAATAAAGAGGCTGGGATTGTACTTAACTTTGGACACTGTGATGGTGAAGAGCACGCCAAAGAGGACAAGTTAGATGATTGGCTAAACTCGGAAGAAGGAACTATAGCCAATCCTTATATATCCACTGCGACCGACATGCCAGAGGGGGCTACCTTAGATGACTCGGATGATAATCAAGGTAAGAAAAAATATTTTCAGATTTTCTGACAGTATGTGAACTATTTCAATGTTTGGAATGTTAAATAGGCATAAAGCAAAGACATAGAATTTAAATTTTCTGGAAAACATAATACAGAGAATTATCAAATGTATTATAATTGTTGTGTATGCTTTCTTTGTGTATAAATATTGAGAAACATTCACTACTATAAATGAATCATTATGGTCTTTAATTTGATGATATTACAAGTGTATTTATGGTATAAGATATTTGATAAACAAAGTATTAACCAAACAGGTATTATTATTATTGCTATTGTTATCATTCTTAATATTACTAGTTTTATTGATATTATAGTTATTATTATTATTATCATTATTATTATTATATTATATTATATTATTATTATTAATCATTATTATTTTTCCATATATGATTATATTATTACCCTTATTAATATAACTGATTTTGTTATTATTATTATTGCTATTATTATTGTTATTATTATTACTATTATTATTATTATTTTTTTTTTTATTGTTGTTATTATTTTTACAATATTATTATTATATTACCTGTCTTAGTATTAATTCATTGTTATTATTGTTATTATTATTATTATTATATTATTATTGTTATTATTATTATTATTATATAGTTATTATTATTATTATTATTGTTACTATATTTAATACTAGTATTATCATAATCATCATTATTATCTTATCTTTTTTTTTCCATTGTTATTGTTATCGTTATCTTTATCTTTATTTTTATCATTATCATTACCGTTATTATTGGTATTATTATGATTATTATGATTATTACTTTTATTACTTTTTTTGTGAAGATTCAAGGAATGGGTAAATAGGTGAGATCTGGTATTCCTACTAATTGACTCCTGGTGATTAAGCACTCGTGAACCTTTTAAGTGTATAGTATAAGTATTATTCTTACAGTTTATACAAGGTGCTACAAGCAGTAAAAGTGTTACTGTTGATCTCAGGTTCCACAGTCGAGACGTGCAAAGGACTGGAGAAGACGAGTCACCACAGCTGTAGCACATCGAGGAGTGAGAGCCCGACAGAACTCTCAGAACGTAAAAAGAAGCATAAGAAAAAGGATAAGGAAAGGAAGGAAAAGGTAACTTGCAGTTATTTAGGAAAACTGGGTTTTTATGTACTCACTCACTCGTGAAAAGTTACATACATAAACATATATGTGCATGTGCAGGCACGCACATAAAATGGCATACATGTTTACATACAAAGGTATACACATACACATACAAATGCCTGTTCATGCATGCACTGTGTAATTTTGGCACATGCAGGTGTACACACACACACACACACACAACCTCTTATGCACATGTGTAAAGTGTGATATTATTTTCAAAGCAAAAAAAATCAGTTTTATAATTATATTTAAAGTAAAGAATCTTCCATGAAATTGTATCACTGCTTTTATTGCAGGATGATGACAAGTCATCTAAGAAACACAAGAAGAAGAGCAAAGATAAAGACAAGGAGAAGGAGGGAGACAAGAAGAAGAAGAAGAAAAGGCGAGACAAAGAGAAGGACGACCTCGAGGAATTCTTCGGGGCCTCGCCAGAGAAGGAGTTTGACGAGGCTTACGAAGCCATCTGAATCCGGCCATTCCCTCCTCCCCCTTAGTTCGTCCAAATAGTATTTACGTAGAAGCTTCCAGTTCGGTCTTATGATAGTATTTTCTTATTTATATAGTCGGTAAGGTGTGGGATGGGCTGCTACGTGCGCGTATCAGTCTGAATGTTTGTTATTTGTATGCGAACCTTTGGAGATCTAGACTTGCTTTTTTTTTATTTACATAAGATCCTGGAATATTACATCATATGTATTGGATAATTGTAAATCAAAACCATGGGATTTAAAAGTTCGGTACCACAGTTATGAAGGTGAATCTGCTTTATCAAAGATTAATATGTACTATTTTGACAGTGTTTGATAACAGGAAGTGCCCAATGCCTTTTCTATGACAGTGTAAGCCATTATATAAATTTTTTTGGATGATGTCATTAGGAAAAAGAACTGTCTTCAGAAACCTGTTTATTAGTTTGTGATTTTTTTTTTTTTTTTTTTTTTTTTTAACATTGGATGAATTGATTTATTATATATATGAAGAAAATACAATATTTTAAACACAGATTACTTTATAAGAGGACTTTATAAGTAACTCTCTATGGATGGTTTTCTAAGATTTTCACCATTGGAGAGAACAAATGTAAAATTAAGAATTATTAGTAAAGATGCTGAGAATAAGATGCTGGTTGAGATATCCAGATAGTCTGTATCTCATTTTTACTATTCGAAATTGATATGAAATTACAAATAAAAACTAAAATCTTGACAAAAACAAGGACTATTATATTTATAAGAAAAAAGAAAAAATTTGAGAGAAAGTTTTCTATTTTCATAGTGACATCATCATCTGTAAAGCGGTGGTGAAAGCGACAAAAAATAGTGACTAACTATTTACTGAAGGTGCCATGTCAATAATTTGATTAAGGAGAGGAACACAGCATTTTTACCCTTAGTGTCATAAAAGAATTTTTGTGTATTTTTGTTATTGTTGCCAATTATTACATCATTATCATCATCATCATCATCATTCAGAATGCTACTGGTTTAAATCTGTCACTGCTATTTTATTCATAAGTCCACTGATCTATAATTGGTCATGACTTCCATTGCCATTTTCATTATTTTTGTTATTACCTCATGCTTGTCATTCTGATAATTTTATTGAGCATTGTGATCATTATTTTTTTATTGGTTACCATTATCACATCATCATATTGGATGCACCAAAATCACAAGGGCTGTGACGAACGATTTCGCAGTGGTTGTACATGCTGGATCACAATTTGTAAACGCACCAATGTAAGTTTTCCTCTCCTTGCTTGCGTATGCCAATTAATAATGGTATGGCCTCGGCTTTAGTTCATCTGAGCTTGGGATTTGTGAAGATAAGCTTTGGCCAGAGTAATAAAGCGTTCGCTGTTCTTTATTCTAATATGGGTTATTGAGAAGCAGTCATTGTGTGGTAGTCATTCCTATCCGTGATTATTGGAATTCTTCTCTTTCTTCTTCTTCTTCTTTTTTTCTTCTTCGTCTTTGTCTTCATCTTCTTTTTCCTGGTTTTCAGAATCAGAGCCATTTAATAATCATTGGATGGACTTGATGTAGAGTGAACTGTCTATGAGTGTTAAACTGGAGTGATATTATTTTCCTCTTATTGTCATCATCAGTATTGTTGTGGGTATGATAACTCTCCGTATGGTTATTGGTAACTAATTGTTAATGTGTTAATTGTTGAGTATAACATGTTATGTTTACATTTGTCATTAGAGTTGGTGTGAAGCTGCTTAGGTGTAGATTATTTATGATTATTTTTTCCCCAGATGCAAAGAATTTTGCAAGATGTTATGAACTGGGAAATTTTGAGTGTGTCTGAAGAAAAAGAAGGATCATCTGTACTTATAAGAATTATTGATTCCTGTTATACAGAGCTCTTTGTTAACATTTTTTTTTTTTTGTGGATCTGCAGTAGTAGATAGCCATTGCATCTTGTGTTGACCTGCATGTCATTCTTGTAGAATGTTCTTGGACTATCTTGTGCTGGTTGGTTTTGGGGTTTGATTTTTGTTCTGATTGTTTTCATGACTTTTGCCAAATATTAGTACTTAATTAGATGCATACATATACATGTATCTATACAAATTCTTTTGTGTACACATACACACATGTGCATACAATGAGCACATACACAGACTCACAGACACACATGTGCAAGTATATACACAAATGGATGTATGTACTCAGCCACATATAAAACACGCACAAAAAACAAAAAATTCACACACACTCACACACACGCACTCACACACACGCACTCACACACACGCACTTCACACACACACACACACACTCACACACACACACTCACACACACGCACTCACACACACACTCACACACACGCACTCACACACACACTTCACACACACGCACTCACACACACACTCACACACACGCACTCACACACACAACACAACACACCACACACACACACACACACACACACACACACACACACACACACTCACTCACTCACTCACTCACACTCACTCACTCACTTCACTCACTCACTCACTCTCTTTCTCTCTCTCTTTCTCTCTCCCTCTACCTCCCTCCCTCCCTTGCTTATTTGTCTGTCTGTCAATATCTCTCTCTCTCACTCTCACTCTCACTCTCACTCTCACTCTCACTCTCACTCTCACTCACTCTCTCACTCTCTCACTCTCTCACTCTCTCACTCACTCACTCACTCACTCACTCACTCACTCACTCACTCACTCACTCACTCACTCACTCACTCACTCACTCTCTCACTCACTCTCACTTACTCACTTACTCACTTCTCTCTCTCCTCTCTCTCTCTCTCTCTCTCTCTCTCTCTCTCTCTCTCTCTCTCTCTCTCTCTCTCTCTCTCTCTCTCTCTCTCTCTCTCTCTCTCTCTCTCTCTCTCGAAATAATCATAATTAGACTTGAATATTACAAATTGTATAGCATTATTCTTTATTTGTTTGAAACAGTCCTATTGTAATAGAGATCAAAAGTCATCAAGATACGTTTTACTCATTAATTTGTTTATTAGAAAGACCCTGCATTATGGCCTTATTTTAGTACAAATATAAATTAATTGGTTTCTATCCTTTACTTTTACTAGGGATAGTGTAAATAGATCACCTATAGTCAGTTTTATATAAAGGGATCGTGCCATTGCACTTAGGATTATAAAATAGAAATGGGATAGAACTATAACCCAGTTTTAGGCCCCGCGTGAAACTGCTTGCGCATGTAGGTTCATGCGGAAAGAGTTTTCAAAAAAAGAAAAAAAAAATCTAACTCTACCTTTTGTATGTCTGGTTTATTTATCACTAACTTCTCGGAAGCGTCGCAGAGGAAAAGCCGATGTGAATCTCGTAACATGTAAGCTCAAATTCACAGTCCCCCTAATTTCTACGTCAGGTTTTTGGGTTAATGGCCGCCTTTAATTACGTAATAGCTTTGTGTTACAAGGGAAAGGGGTTAGGTTTTTCATCTTTTTTTTTTTTTCTATCTTATTAATGATTAAGTTTCTGATTCCTGAAACTAATGATTTTGTTCAGATACATTGTTTATATGAAAAGTGTAATAATAAAAAAAATAGTTAATACATGTTCTCATGATGAAACCGGTGTGAATTATGTACATGTGACAAGTTGAAGGTTGGTGAGCGTTCAGGTCTGATTAGACTGTAGAATTGAATACTTTAGGATCAATACATTAGAATTTACCAATATTTTGTTAGTCTGGGTTCTTGAAAGAAGAATTGTACCTTGTTTTGCAATATGAAGTTTATATATATATATGATCAGGGAATCAGTTCCTATTTTTAAAAGATGGTTATTTGAGTGTGAAAAAAATTAATGTGATGTTAGGGATAGAATGTATATGCTGGAATTTTTGGAATATTACAGAACATGTGATTTTTTTTTACTTTGATTTACCTCATGTTTTTAAAATTCATGTTTCATTTTTATTCTGAACATGAAATTCATTTAGAAAAGAAATACATGATGAATCCTTATCTTCAATGGTAAAGTGGACATCCATAAGTACACTTTATTATAGAAAAAAACAAAATTGTAAAAAAAAAACAATGATTGCCAAAGAATCATCAATTAATGTAATCAAATACAAGTAATTATAACTGAACTTCAGTATTGGTAAGGCTATATCTTTTCTTAGTATTTAGGGAACATTTTTCATTGTGATAAATGAGGAAAAAAGGTATGAATGAGAATAAAAAAAAAAAAAAAAAAATTATATATATATATATATAT